CAAACGTACAAGCTGTTCCCTTGGCTTTTTCTCTGGATAAGATAAACAAGCCCAGGAGGCAGCTTTTATTCAAGCTCCGTGATTCCATCCTTCTCCAAGTGGGCCTGTTGGTGAGAGCTGTTGCACCCTTGGGAGAAGTTACTAAGACTTTCCCACTCTTCAATTGGCTGCAAATCTTTCCTTCTTTCTGTGTGCTGATTTCTGTGTGCTGAGGCTGTTCCAGCGATGGGTTTCACTGCTCTGAATGCTTTCTTCTAGGTGACCCAGCCTTCTTCTCTAAAAGATAGTCCCTACCTAGCCCAAGCCCAGGATCCACCCCACACTGGTCAGCCTTATGGCAGGGGTTTGTCCACTTGCTGCTCTCCATAAAGCCTGTCTTCTTCAGACAAGAAGAGGCAAGGCAGCTTAATGCCTACACTGGATGGTTATTGCCATTGCCATGGTTTCATTGTTGGCTCTTGTACCAGTCGTCTGAGCTTTCTCTTGCTGGATCCAAAGACTGGAGGAAACAGTGACTTTGGGGAAGGAGGAGGTTACTCTCCCTGCTCCCCAGAAGCAATGGGGTGAAGCCCTCCTAGATGTTGCTTCATATGAGTTAAGGATCCAGCTCTCCTGGGTCTTTGCTGGGTTTTTTTTGTAGCACCTCAACTGGGTTTGAAAAATGTTGGTTTGGGGGCTATCTTGGCACTAAAGCAAGAGGGATACAGTGCTGGAAAAGTCCTGAAAGCTGCCAGATGGCAGGATGTGGTGGTGCCTGGGGATCCTCATGCTGATCAAAATGAGCAGTATAGCCATGTTAGCCCAGCCATGAGGCAGGGTTGATTTAATTTGGCCCTAGCATCATGCTGATACAGCTGCATAGGATTAATTTCTGCTTATCCTGCTCCTTCTACTTTGCTCTGTGAGCTGTTGCATTGGGTGGATCTGCTGAACATGGGGGGAGAGTCTGCCATGTGGTCTTGATCCTCCTTTGGAGATACCTGCTCTGATCACTTCTCCTTCTATTTTCTTCTGAATCAGCAAAATCAAATCCACCATTTCCGTTGCTGGTAACAGAACCTGCAAAAAACCTCTTGGTCTCCACCTTTCATTTCCCAAAGGTGCTCTCTTGATGTCCTTAAAAAATGCAAGACCTTTCCATTTGCTTTTTTAGCACTTGGTGTAATTTCAGGAGCTCAGTGCTCTGTGCATGCATCCTGCATTCACAAAGTGGGCTCAGCAGCCTGGTTTTCCCATGGGTTTCATGGAAAACTAAAGGTAGTGATGGTTCTATTAACAAACAGATCTATGGGCCGTGCTCAGTGCTGGATCCTGACCCTGCACTGCTCAGTGAGCAGAGGTGTCCCCTGCCCCACATAGCTGGGTTAAGTCTTTAAGCTTTGGGTTGAGTAGCTTTTGCTTAAGCCTCATTTCATAAAACTTGAATCACAGGTTTGAGACTTTTTTTTATCAAGAGGATGTGATTTCTTTCATCTCATTTGAATTCCTGTGATATCCTCGAGTCTTTTCTGGGAAAAGACAAGGAGAATTGGTAAATGATTGGGCCGTTTGCCTAAAATGCTGCTTTTCATCCAAAGGGTTTTTTGGGAGGGTTGTTCTACCTTTTTTTACCTTCTTTCCCTTCAAGAATTTCAAAGGGATTTATAAAGTTGTTTCTGTGTATTTAAAAGTTTATGCTCGTCGAAGGGTTTAGTCAAAACTTCTTGGGATGTTGGTGTGTTGGGGAGGTCTCTTGATTTTGAAGTACATGTGGCCTTGCTGTCCTGCCCTGGCATTAATCTTGAGGAGCAGAATCCACTCTTGACTCAATTCCTGCAGAATTCATTGTATCTTCCCTTTTCTGTTGGGATACCACATCTTCCTAGTGACAGGGAGGAGGAGAGCACAGCCAGAGCCCTTAAGGCTGAGGACTTTGCTGGACAGGTCATGTGTGTCCCACCTCTCCCTTGGAGGGTGTGGGACTCAGGACTGCTGGGCTGCCTTGGTGGGAAAACTGATGGAGCAGTTCATGCCTGTGAACACCTTTTCTGTAGGAACTGGGATGACTTTAAAAAGTTATGTTAATGCAGTGAGTGACAGGTCTTGCCTTGGAGAATTTAATACCAAATACCTGCACCTGTGATGAACCCCAGTGAAGTTTAGACATTGGAAGAGTCTACCATGGTGGCATCCATTAGTGAGCACAGCAGTAGATACTTCCAAGTTTGCCTACAGAAGAGATTCCATGTCACCTTTCTTCAAAAGCTGAAGACACAGGTTTGCTCTGACACTTGTGTCCCACTTGCTGCCAGTTGGGAATGTTCAGAATATTTTTTTTCCCCTTCCATTGATTTTTCCACAGTCTTGCTGCTGAAGCTCTGTGTCACCCTCAGCTTGTCTTGCTCTGACCTCAGACACCTAAGAGCTGGTTTCTTTTTTCCCCACTGTTAACTGAACTGCCTTATTTCTTGTCCTCCAGCCAACTCCTCTGCAGATCTCAAAATGCTTTACAAAGGAGATAAAAATCCTTAGTCCTGTTTTGTAGATACGTGGGGCAACAGCAGCAGAGTGGCTTGTCCCAGACCACTCAGGATGTCTGACATCAGTGGCAGGAGGAGGAATAGAGACCTAGTCTTCCTGAACCCTCATCCTTGTCCTATACTCCCTGTGAACACTGCTTCCAATTTTCAATGGACGAAAAATTCCCATTCTGACTGCACAAGTCCTTCTTTTACATCTACAGAAAGAGGTTGGCTGTACTGAGGTCATTTTGAGAAGGTGGAAAAAAAGTGTGACCTAGGAGTGGAGCCCTTGCTGGGGAGTGCTCTGCCAGCAGCTCCCTCATCTCTGTCTGTGGGAGCTGTAGGTTTTGTTTCCTTGGCCTCCTTTTATCTTGGAGTTCTGTGAGGAACCCCATAAGTGAGTCCAACCTGGATGTCTATTGATGGGCAGAACAGGCCACCTGGAGACTTTAGCTGTGCTGGAGGGCATGGCCAGTATTTAGGAGCAAATTATATGTGTAGCTTGATGAAGAATTTGGCTAGCTTATACTTTTTGGTTTAAACCTGTTGGAAATGTCAGGACTAAATGGAAGTGTGTGCACCTGGAGTGGGGCTAGAAAAATACCCAGCCTGTGGTAGAACCTGGCTTAGTCGTGTGACAGGATTGTGAATTTCTGGATGGGGCTTTGATGGTGCCTGCAGCTCTTTCTGTCTTTGGACAAGGCTTAATTGGGCTGGTTGTGGTGCCCTGCATGGCAGGTTTTCAGGGTGACTCCCTGAAGGGAGGGCTGCCCCTGTTGGGATGGGGTGGGAAGAGCCACTATTGCAGAAGGGGCATAATAGAATTCCTGGGCTAAATCCGATCGTGTGGGCTCCCTGTGCCAGCTGCAGCATCCAGCTGAGTTGGGCAGGCAGCTCCATGGGGAGCATGTGCCATAATCCCAGCTGGGAGCCTCAGAGGTGCCCAGCTTTGGGGCTCCCAGCCATCCCAGCAGCAGGGACTTCACCTGCTTTCTCCGCTGCCTGAGGCTGACACCCATTGTCCCTGCTCCCAACCCTGGCAGCCACCACGTCTTTCCAGGACCACGGGGCATCACAATCCTCACCCACCCCCAAGACACTAAACACCCCCCCAGCACAGCTCTGCTGCTGCTGCCCGGCAGGAATAGCTCTGACCCCCTCTTTATTCCACGCCTCGATGGAGGGAAGGCTGCACCCTTGCTGGCATCTTCAGCAGAGACCATCATCCTGTGAGAGGATTGACTCCCTGGCTTCACACACCACGACCCACTGGGCCAACCTTCCTCAGGGTTTCTGAACCACATTCAAGACTGGAAGTTTTCCCGGCGCTTAGCGAGGAGCAGCCGACTCTTGGGTGCCGGGTGCCTTGCAAACCAAGGAACCTGCTCCCCCTCCTTGGCCACCCTTTCCAGAAGGAATTCTTAGGCAGATATTAACCATATCATGTTTTGGCAGGGTGCTGGGTGGCACTCATCACTGCTGCTGCTACAGTACGTTTAAAAATAAATAAATAAACGATTTTTATTTTTTTTTAATATATATTTTTTTAAAGCACAATGAAGTAGGGTGTTTTGGGGGGTTTTTTGGTTGGAAAAGGAGATTTCATGTTATCTGTGTTTGCAGGCTTTCTGGCTCCTATGCTGCAGGAATCCTTGCTGCGGGGGTGTTTTCATTCTCTCGTCTAACATGGCAATGGTCCATCACGGCGGAGGTTTTCAGCTTAAACAATCTGTTTGTGGGGCTGCTGATGGCTCTCACCGTGCATTTTGAGGAGGCAGCCACTGCAAAGGAGAGATCCAAGGTAAAACGTCTCAAGCAAAGTGAATAAGTATTTTTGTCTGGGAAGAGCCACTATTGCAGAAGGGGCATAATAGAATTCCTGGGCTAAATCCGATCGTGTGGGCTCCCTGTGCCAGCTGCAGCATCCAGCTGAGTTGGGCAGGCAGCTCCATGGGGAGCATGTGCCATAATCCCAGCTGGGAGCCTCAGAGGTGCCCAGCTTTGGGGCTCCCAGCCATCCCAGCAGCAGGGACTTCACCTGCTTTCTCCGCTGCCTGAGGCTGACACCCATTGTCCCTGCTCCCAACCCTGGCAGCCACCACGTCTTTCCAGGACCACGGGGCATCACAATCCTCACCCACCCCCAAGACACTAAACACCCCCCCAGCACAGCTCTGCTGCTGCTGCCCGGCAGGAATAGCTCTGACCCCCTCTTTATTCCACGCCTCGATGGAGGGAAGGCTGCACCCTTGCTGGCATCTTCAGCAGAGACCATCATCCTGTGAGAGGATTGACTCCCTGGCTTCACACACCACGACCCACTGGGCCAACCTTCCTCAGGGTTTCTGAACCACATTCAAGACTGGAAGTTTTCCCGGCGCTTAGCGAGGAGCGGCCGACTCTTGGGTGCCGGGTGCCTTGCAAACCAATGAACCTGCTCCCCCTCCTTAGCCACCCTTTCCAAAAGGAATTCTTAGGCAGATATTAACCATATCATGTTTTGGCAGGGTGCTGGGTGGCACTCATCACTGCTGCTGCTACAGTACGTTTAAAAATAAATAAATAAACGATTTTTATTTTTTTTTAATATATATTTTTTTAAAGCACAATGAAGTAGGGTGTTTTGGGGGGTTTTTTGGTTGGAAAAGGAGATTTCATGTTATCTGTGTTTGCAGGCTTTCTGGCTCCTATGCTGCAGGAATCCTTGCTGCGGGGGTGTTTTCATTCTCTCGTCTAACATGGCAATGGTCCATCACGGCGGAGGTTTTCAGCTTAAACAATCTGTTTGTGGGGCTGCTGATGGCTCTCACCGTGCATTTTGAGGAGGCAGCCACTGCAAAGGAGAGATCCAAGGTAAAACGTCTCAAGCAAAGTGAATAAGTATTTTTGTCTTTTTTTTTTTTTTCAATTAGTTATCACGGGTCTGTTTAATGTCCTGTTCGTTTAGAATCATAGATTCATTAAGGTTGGAAAGGACCCTAAAGATCATCTAGTTCCAACCCCCCTGCCATGACCAGGGAATCCTACCACATAGAATCATTAAGGTTGGAAGGGACCTTAAAGATCATCAAGTTCCAACCCCCCTGCCACAAGCAGGGAACCACCAGACCAGCTTGCACAAACCCGTGTCCAACCTGGCCTTAAAAATTTCCAGGGATGGGGCATCAACAACCTCCCTGGGCAACCCATTAGTGTTCATTTAGTTTTGTCCAATAGAATGGTTTGGGTTGAAAGGGACCTTCAAGATCATCCAGTCCCAACCCCCCTGCATGGGCAGGGACACCTCCCACCAGCCCAGGTTGCTCCAAGCCCCATCCAACCTGCCCTTCAACACTGCCAGGGATGGGGCAGCCACAGCTTCCCTGGGCATTTTGAAGAAAGAAGAAAGAAGTCTGAAGAAAAAAGGTAAAATTCTGGGACTTGGTTCAGCACCTAGGCTGGATGGTGTCCATCCCTGACCTACCTGGATGTTAAAAAATGCCAAACATTGACACACCTCTCCACTTTGCTTAAGGGTGGAGCTGGGACCTGTTGGATGGGTTTGGGCTTGGTTGTTTTTATACACACAGGGTGGAAACAAGAGAAGAAAAATAATTTTCATCTAAATATTTTAGTGCAAAGTTTGGTTTCATGCATCAGAGACTCCAGCTGGGTCCTGGGTGTTTGAGTTTTGGGTTTCAGAGTTGATATTTTTCCTTGGGGTAAATAGATACATTTTACAGAAAATTTTACCTGGTCAGAACCCCAGGTTTCTACTGAGAAAAAACCAACCATGTTTTCAATCAGTTATTCATTTGAAATTAAATGTGCCCCTAAAATAACGCCATTGTTAAAGACAGAGACTTGAAATTTCATGCCAAATTCTCTATTTTATAAACAGACTAGGCAGCCAAATGATATTTTTACTCAGCAGTCTTGTTCTTCCTGCTTCTATTTGCCTGAACATCTGATCTCTCCTCTCACAGACTTGCCTGCTGTGACTCTTGCAAATTGTCTGAATAAAAGGATTTTTGTCGAGCTAGGCTAGAATTTCTGGAGTCTGCAGTGGTAGTTTACTCAGCTTCAGGAGTTCTCAAATAACATGTTTTATCAGTGGTTATAGAGACCTTGTTTCACCACTGGACTTTACTTTTTTCCTTTTTGATGGCTACTGTCCCAGGATCCCAACCTGAACTCAGTGAAGATGGGGTTGGGCATTTTCCAGTCTCCTTCCACATTTCACGTGCCCCATTTCCAACAGAATTTTCAGATGTGATTTTCACAAGCAGTGAAGGAGCTTGTTTCAATGTTTTTTGGGTATCTGGCATCCCATGCCTTAAAGAAGCCAGGCTGCCAGCAGCAAGCTCACAGAGCTTTTCATAAACCAGATTGTCATGCAGACATCTTCAAGGGTGTGCTCGGAGTTCATCAATATACTTGAAAAATTGCTGAGGTTGTCCTGAGTCCCACAGGGCAGCTCTGAAGGTGTCAGAAGTTATTGCAGGTGCTTCCATGACATGGCAGTGTTCAACACTGAGTGCTGGGCAGTCAGTTAAAAATTACCAGGTGATCCCATGCCAAGGCAAGTGTTTGTATCTTACACACCATCCTCACCAGTGACTGAAATAAGGAATGATGCTGTAATGATAGATGGAAGAGCTCCTCTCCTTAGGGATGGCTAAGGAGGTGAGGATGGGTTCTCAAACAACATTTGTGGGATTCTGGTGGCTTTTTACCCACTAGAGGGGCTTGACTTCAGGTTGTAACATGGACCAAGTGGCCAGTGATGGGAGGAGGAGGAGACAAATTCAAAAGAGGAGCAGTGTCCAATGGTGCGCTGACCCAGGGTTTCCACAGGGAGTTGCTCTTGTAGCCTTTTCCTCCCCCAGTGAACAAAGAGGACTCAGCCACCACTCTGAAGTTTGTGTAGCCCTGACTTTAGCCCTCTGTGCCTGAAGAAGAGGAAAAACTTATTCCTGTTTATTTAAAATGAGGTCTTTGTATATAATGGCATTATTTTAGGGTATGGCTTCTGAAAATGTTGCATTGTTGGGAGCTGATGCTGCATGATCTCCCTGTGCAGCAGAGCTTGAGGAACTGGACCCCATCACATCATTATGATGTGATGGTGCTCCATGGGGTTTCTGCATACATGGAGACATAGCTGGACACTTTTTAAAAGAATGTTTTCTGTTAAACAAGTAAAATCTCCCTGTAAATAGTAAAAAAATAGCCTGTGTGGTCTGGATTACAACTGACCAGCGCTCACTGATGTATTTGCCTTTCTCTAAGAGTCCATTGGGCTGCACAGAAGCTCTTTTGGTCTCTGGATGTTTTTGCAAACTGTAAAGAGTGATTGTGAATGTGTTTGGTTTTTTTCTTTTCCCTTTCAGATCTCTAAACTTGGTGCCTTTTGCTGTGGGCTCAGTTTGTGCAACCAGCACACAATAGTGCTTTATATCGCCTGTGTTGTGCCTTGGGTTCTTGCCCGGCTTCTCAGAAAGATGGTGGGTATTTTGCTGACCCAGAACTCTGGTTTTGTGGGCAGTAATTCTTCTTTCCAAGCACTTTTGCCACTTTTATGTTGATATACAAACAGGGACAGTCAGTGGTTTGTCTGAACTAGTTGGTCATCACCCACTGAAATTAGAGTCCATCAGTCTTGACACCAGAGGCACTGATGGTGATTTGGAGGCTTTGTTTACACCAACAAGTCTGTGACCTGCTCCTGTCTCCTGGCACAGGAAGGCTCTGCCCCAGCTGCTTGCAAATGCCCTGTGAGCTGCCACGAGACTCATACTAATAGTTAAAAACTGCTCAATGTGCAGGAAATAAGAGCATGTTCACTGACCTACCCAACAGGAAAGCAGATCAGTGTTTGTTGGTGAGAAGTCACAGGCACTGCTTCTCCTGGCTGATGGTCCTGGTTTTCTCCTGCCATCAGCTCATCTGGAGATGAGTTTCTGTGTGTTGTTTTCCTGGTGGTAACACACAAGGCCATATCCACTTGTTGCAGAGCATCTTGCAACTGCTGTTGATAGTTGAAGGTGCAGCTGGAATAAGCAGCACAGCAAGAAGGGTGCAGAGGCTTGTTTCTAAGGGGAAGTCCTCTTCAGCATCTCCTTGGGACATGCCTTCAGCTCTGATGCAGCCAAGACATGAGTCCTACAGGAGATTAACTCTCAGGTAAAAAGCACCTTGTTTGTGCCAGCTGGAGAAGAGCAAAGGAAGGCTGACCTTCAGTGAAACAGCAAGCCTCTGATCTGGTCAAATACATCTCTTTCATCTCCTACCTGAGATCTCATTCCCAACATGTCCCTTCTTTTACACCTCCTTTATTAAGCTTACTAGTTGTGTAAGAAAGTGAAAACACCTTTTTGCATACCTAGCTTATGAAGGTGACTTGCCTGCATCTAGATGAGGCTCCCAGGTTATCTTCAGGGGCCTTGCCATGCTCTTTTCTTCTGTAGATTATCTTCTGTGAGTCAGTGCATCAGGCTGGATGCCAAGTGTTGTAGAAACCCTGCTTTGCCCAGAAAACAGATGCTCTGATCACTTTGCAAGTGGCCCAGAGAAACCTCCATCTACTTTCTCCCTCTCTTTTGTCCCCCTGAAGATGACAGTTGGGCAGGTTCTGCTGTATTTTCCCACCCTCGACATGTTAAATCAGGCATGGTTCTGGGTATATCTAAGCTCACAGGGAAGCCATGAGACGTAAGACACAACTCAGACAACCTTGATCCAAAATCTCTTTGGTGCTTCCAGCAAACCCCTTTCTAACTACATATTGCCTTCAGCACAAGGAAGACTCGCTCCTGTAGTATCTTTGTGTTCTTCGAACAGCTTGTGTTTTTACCCAGGGAAGTCCAGAGAGACCTCTGTGATTTCCAGCCAGGACAATCCTTTGCCAATACAATATTCCTGGGAAGTACTTTAGAGATCCCAGTAGTGCCTGCTGCAGAAAACCACCTAATAAGAAGGGCATTTGATGGAAAACTGCCTTTTTCAGAAAAAAAGAGCCAGCTTTCTTCTGAAGGAACTGTGGCCACCACCATTATCAAGCTGCTTTTTCTGCTCTGTAGATGATCACTCTGAATGGTGCCTCCTCCCCATAACCCCAGCTCCTGAAGAAGTGCCTTGATTGACAGGGCAGTGGCTGATGATAAAGCAAGCGTGCAATATTCTGCGGTGGGATTTTCCAAAAGCACTTAAAAGGAGTTAGGCACAGAAGTCCCTTTGAAGGTCTCATTCTTCCTGACCCCTTAGGCAGTCTTAAAAATCCCACCCCAAAAGTTGGCCTGTCCAATTGAGCCAGCGTAATCACGATGGAGGAAATGGCAAAACTGACTCCTGATGGTGGTGAACAATGTGTGCAGTTGTACTAGAGCAGCATTTCCCTTCCTTCCTTTATTTATTTATTTATTTTCTTGCCAGATGGAACACCAGCCAACTCTTAATCGCTGCAAAGTGGGTTATCTCAGCCTTGCAGTGCTCCAGCCATCTATGCATGTCATGCCATGATTTAAATGTGAAAGATGCAATGAGTATGATACTCATGAGTCCTAGCTAATATTATTTGCTTCACTTAAATTTCACCCTGCCATGCAAAGGAGATCAGTTTGATGCAGTTTTCCTGGTAATCCACAAAATCGTTGGGTTTAACATCGCATTTTGGAGGGACTTACTATAAATTGAGAGATCAGCTCTGTGTAAATATATTTGATGTGTGTTTTTTTTTTTTTTCTTTATCTGTTCTCGAAGTTCCAGCGTGATTAAACTCAAATAAACATTGTTATGCAATATGACATCTTTTGGTGCAGGAATTGTCCCTAGGCCATTTGCTGAAGTTGGGTTTATGCTTCTTGGCTGGTTTGCTGCCTTATCTCTATCTGCCGGCTTCATCCTACCTCAATCAAGCCCGTTGGACATGGGGAGACCAGACGACTTTTCAAGGATTTTTGACCCACTTTCTCAGGGAAGAATATGGGACATTCAGTCTGGTAAATAAGGGTCATTTTCTAAACCACTCTCTCTTAACTTCAGCTGTTGCAGGACCTTTCTGTTGGTGACCATCCATGGCTTGCACAGGGAGAAATGGAAAATGTTTTCTCTTTTTCAAAAATTATTTCTGATTTTGACCTTCTGAGGCATCAGATTTTCTGGGAATGGGTCACATGGCTGGGAAAGCAAGGAAATAATTCTCGTTGCCTCTCTGGAGTGAGCCATGTTGCTTACTGGGAGCTGTGCAGGTGTCTTGTATTTGTAAAAGTCCAAAGACCAAACTGTGCTGATGGTGGCATCAGAAACAAATAATTTATTTGTTTCTTGTGTTTTTTTTCATTGCAAGCTCAGCTATTTAAAGAATTCTCAAGCAGTTTTCTTTGCTGTATCTTTAAAAAATAATCCTCTTAAATAACTTCTTACTAATATTGATTTGAAATGAATGGGAGGTTTGGGGGGTCTCAGAAACCTCTAATCTGGGTTATTGGCAGGTCTGTGCTCTTGCCAAGGGAGGGAGGAGTTGTGTGGTTGCTTGCAGAGTGTAGGGTTTGCACCTACCTGCTCCAGCCCCAGCTCAGGTGTTTGGCTCTGCCCACCCAAGGAAGGCAAGTGCCCAGCTCCCCTCCTGCCCTTCCCACTTCAGAAGTTTTGGTGCAAAGGGCTGGGAAATCACACCACCAGGGAGAACGAAAAAGAGAAAAAGGGATGGTTTACATACTGGGTTCCTTCTTGATGTCTTGACACCCCATGGCCTCAGAAATTGAGATGCTGGAACAGGTTGCCCAGGAAGGCTGTAGATGCCCTCTCCTTGGAGGGGTTGAGGGCCAGGTTGGGTGGTTGTGGCCTTTAGCAACCTAATCTAGTGGGAGGTGTCCCTGCCCATGCAGGAGGGTTGGAACTAGATGATCTTTAAGGTCACTTCCACCCCCAACCAGTCTGGGATTCTATGAAATTGAAGTCCCTGCTACAAGCACCATTGCAGCCTTCCTGGAGAGATGGGTGGCTGTAGGATGTGAGGCAACAGACTTGATGGTTCCTGCTGCTGCCACTTAATCTTTCCAAAACTCCTACAGCAAAAAGATTCACCCTCTGAAGGGCTGAAATTTCCCTGGTTGTCCTATTCCCAGCCACCTCCTGAGAATGAGACTCCGCTTGGCAGAGCAGTACCAGGGGACACAAGTCCCTTCATTCCTTTCTCCATCAAGTGTGATGAATTCAAGTTGATGTTCAGGAGGTTTAGGGATGTTCTGCATGTAATCCTGCACCACAAATCACATTTCTGATGAACTTGTCAGAAGCAGGAGCCATAAATTCTGCAAAATCCAAGCATTTGGTCCTGATGCCAGTTGGGCAAGTGCCAGAGCCCTGCCTGGATGGACAGTCCTTGCCTCCTGTGGCTCTGTTTTAAGGGCAGACAGAGTCAAAACCAACCAACCAAAAAACAAGCAAACAAAACAGTGGAAAGACTAGGGAGAGGGTTCCATATATAAGCCAAGGATCTGAAATGTCATCTTCTGGCAGGGATGTGTCTGAAGCCAGAAGCTGTCAGGTGGGGCTTTGCAAGAAGCAGAGATGTAGCAGTGGGGCTTCAGGAGCTCTGGACTGGTTCTCTGTCCTCTAGCACTTCTATTTTTTAATTAACCTCAAATGCAATTAACTATTCCATTTTTATTGGGATTAAATATTCATTCTAGACCTGGATCAATTTACCTTATCTTTTATTTGGTAGCCACCACTTTTCCAACAAGCACCTATGAAGGTAATTCCTCACCTTCACCAAACATCTTCTTTCCCAGACTTGTGCCATGAATTGCAAGTGTCTGCCATAAAAATCCTCATCTATTTGCTATAAATATCATACAGTACTGCCCCCATCAGACTAGAGGTGACCAGAGGTAGTCAGGTGGGCAAACAGGAGTCAAGTCCCACCTGCTTGTTTCAGGCTGTGGGGAGATGTCCCAGAAAATAATTGTACTATGCAGATAAACAATGAGAGGAAATGGCCTCAGGTTGTGCCAGAGGAGGTTTAGATTTGATCTTGGGAACAATTGCTTCCCCAAAAGGGTTGTCAGGCCCTGGCCCAGGCTGCCCAGGGCAGGGGGGGAGTCCCTATCCCTGGAGAGGTTTCAAAGCCATGTAGATGTGGTGCTGAGGGACATGGGGCAGTGGTGGCCTTGGCAGGGCTGGGGGAAGGGTTGGACTGGATGATCTTGCCAGGTCTTTTCCAACGTAAGTGATTCTGTGATTCTATGATATAGTGGAGCTCTTAGCTAAACCATATGATGTGCTCTTGAAAAAATGCTTATCCAGATAGTAAACCCTGCAGAGGCATAGTGTGAAACAAGAATGTAGGAGAAAATGAAGGTCTGAGCAGAGTTTGCTGTCTCTTCATTGTTTAAGCAATTCCTGTTCCCTGTGATCACCTTGAGGTACCACCTGAAGGAGTTTTGAGGAGCCCTGTGTTCTCAGGGCAAACAAAAAGTGAAGAGACTTTTTTCTTGCCCCAGTGATAGAGCAACCAGTGTGTGGGTCTCTCACAGGTTCTTTTCTTTTTATCTAGGCCAAGTCTGAGACAGGATCCACTATGAGAGAGATGCTGATGTGAGTAAAATCTTGACCGTGCCTTTTAGTGGAGAGAAACCTGTTGCTGCTGCTGTTACTTTGGCCAAAGTGGCTCCTGTCCTGCTTTTCTTTGGCTTGGGGCAGAGCTGGGGGCATGTGTGTCCAATACAGGGACAGCCTTGCATGTCTGTCTGTCTTCCTCATTGGAGAAGAAGTCCTGGATCCCCTTCCCCAGTGATTTTTCGTTCCAGATCTTGACTTGCAAACTGACCTTGTTCCCATTCCCGGTAGACTTCACAGGAGAATTGGAACATGTTATGTGGTGCTTATTCCCTGCTTCTTGTGCCAATGTAATTGAGTGCAAGGGCTGATTTGGGGATGACACATCCGTGAACTGATTTCTTTCAGTTTTCAGCTGGCACAGATGAAGTCGGAGCTCTCCCTTCCTGTCCTTGCCCTGGCACTCGTGGCCTGTGTGAGCGCGATGCTGCCGTAAGTTGGAGAACAATGTTTGCTCTGATGGCACTTTCATACTGGCTTTCTTTGCCTTCTCCTTGTTGGTGCAAAAAAAACCTCAGCAATTGGCTGTGGTCATCTACAAATTAAGAGCAAAATATCCCTGTTCCTGGAAGCCCTGTGGCCTGGGAGATGGTAAGCTTAGGAATCTTGAAATCCTGACAGTTTTGTGCTTTGAAAGCAGATGTTTCATAAATTACAAAGGCAAAGAAAGGCTTATCCTTGTATTAAATGCATTTGGGTATGCAGAGAGAGTTGTTTTCAAGCATATACAGCTTTTGTCTCCTTTCTCATCATGTCATAGAGTGCTTCCTTATTTTTTTATAGGACAAAGCAGCAGAAGTCACCCGTGATCTGGCTCTTCACTGGCATGCTCTGTCTTTATTCCCTTTTCTTTGCTTGGAGAGCAAATTTGGATATTACAAAACCTCTCTTTCTGGGTGTGGTAAGTTACACTCCAAAAATTCCCCTGACGTGTTGATTTTTGGAAGAAGCCTTCAAATATATCGTCATAAAATCCCAGACTGGTTTGGGTTGGAAGGGACCTTCAAGATGATCTTGTTCCAACCCCCCTGCCATGCGCAAGGAGACTTCCCGCTAGACCAGGTTGCTCCAAGCCCCATCCAACCTGCACTTCAACACTGCCAGTGGTGGGCCAGCCACAGCTTCTTTGGGCAGCCTGAGCCAGGGTCACATCACCCTCATAGTAAAGAATTTCTTCCTAATGTCTCATCTAAATCTCCCCTCTTCCAGTTTTAAGCCATTCCCCCTCATCTTCTCACTACAAGCCCTTGTCCCAAGCCCCTCCCCAGCTTTCCTGGAGCCCCTTCAGGCACTGGAAGGTGCTCTAAGGTCTTCCTGGAGCCTTCTCTTCTCCAGGCTGAACAACCCAACTCT